GCTGTCTCAAAAATCCCGTCACTGACACGCATTGGCTAAGGCCACGGAGGTCTACTCTCCCCAGCTCGTCCATAACTAACAGATGGTTGTTGCCCTTACCGCAGGGACCGATGTACGACAGCGGATAATATTTGCATATGAGGTCATTGTCGGGCATCTCCTCGACGATATGGTCTAAGCGAAAGTGTCGCCTGATGATCAGGTGTTGCTTCAGTCGGAGGTAGGTCTCGCTTACGTTGCCGTGTTCCAGTTTCGTCCAACGCAGCAAATTGAAGTGGGTTCCATACTTTTCGGTCAGCAACGAGCCGAGCCGGCGTCTCAGCTCAATTACCGTCGTATCTTCCTGGAAGAACATCGTCGCTCCTCTCGGCAGCGATGCGTACGAACTAATGGTGCGTCGGCACATACGACAGCACTTTTAACTAGTTGTTGGCAATCAGACGGAAACGTCGAGCCCGAATTGTCACGCGAAACCGAAACAGGGTTTGTGCACAGTGGCCCATTTTGAGAATGATGCGACTTCGTTTCTGGTTCCCCCCTCGGGGCTTTGCTCAAAGTAACAAACACCGGCCGGACACGCCGAGGCTGGCGTAGCACAGAAACCGGAGGAACAGCCGGACGGTTTCGGTTGCGAGTTGCCAGGGTGAACGACCCCCCGCGCACCTGTCCTTTGAACTCCCGCCGGTGAAAAATGCGACTCCGGGAACGGCTAATTTCCAGCGACCGATGAACCATCACTGTTCCGACTTTACGGTAGAAAAACTTAAGAAAAAATGTACAAATGCTTAAAAACTGTTTTCTGAAGTCAGACCGAAACCATGTAAAGCTAATAACGCGATTACCTCCGGTAGCTGGGACGCGCTCTCGACACTGAACTCTTAACTCTGCCACATTGACGACGATGACGTCTGCAGATGGCATCAATACAAAACATCAACTACACAAAACCTCGCTACACCTGAACAACTTACTTAGCCATTCAAGGTCATCCACCAGTGGGCAAAAGAGTACCGTGACTACTTAGAATGTGAGCCCTGCAAGCAGCCACTGTGCACACTGTTGCTACAGCGGAATCGCTGTGTCCGCATTGGAAACAATAAGCTCAACTAACGTCGGTTAACTGACCAAACAGCTGTGCAAGAGCAGCAGGGTTTCGTGTGTCTCTTGAAACTGTTCTTTATACGACGAGAAACTTTGAATAACAACGATTTATGTTTCGGATTGGTGAACCACCATCTATATTAATGATTGAGTATATAACGCTGAAAACTTTTCTCAACTTAATCGTCAAACTTTACTTTCTTTATTGATAATGCATAGTTGCGCTGTTACAGTATACTCTTTTGCTATAAATCTAAATAGGCAAAACTGATTTTCATACTTCTGACTAGTATAAATTTTAGTTACGAAACATATCACTGAGGAAAATTCTTTCGAACCTCCCTACCATCTCTTATTCAAACCGGATTCGTCAAACAACGTCTTTTGTATAGATGACCGATCAGGTTCAGCTGAAATCTTGTCTACCTTTTTGCTTTTATATACTTTAATCTGCAAATCAATTATGCTGCATTGACGCATGAATTCGCTTCTTTTCTTATCGCCAAACATAACAATACTTGACCATAGAGCTTCAGTGTAAAACAGTGAGCATGCTATAACTAGGATCGCGAAGGCATGCATCGCCTGAGCTGTCCTAATTGCGAAAAACCGCTGTTAGACAAAATGCAGCCAATGTATTTGTGTTAACTAAATTTATTATAACTCGAAATTTTTAAAATAATTCTTACGGTACCATCACCATCAGCATTTGTCGATCCACCGCTGAATGAAGGCCATTCCAAGACGGCCATGTAGTTCTGTTTCCTTTCACTTTCAGCCAATCTTATCGTCCCATCCATCCGGTGATCTTCCTTTCAACCGTTTGCTTTCTTTTATAACACAACGTGCTGTTTGCCTGGTTCAGCGATTGTCGGTTGTTCTTGCAACGCTACCACCCTATTTTCGTTCCAACTGTTTCCTTGAGCCAGCGACATCGTAGTCTCTTGTTTGACTCTTGCTCTCATTCACATTTTTCCATTATTCCAAGCATACACCTTGCAGTATTACATAATGCCTTGCAGTCTATGGTGACTTCCAGGATTAGGGTCTTTAAATCTTTTCTGTCACCTTCTTTGTATAATATCATCATCGATGCGGTTTTCCATTTGTGGATTTTTCAGTTCCTTAAAACAGCCTATAAACTAGCGCTGTCTCAATTCTTGGACACGTTAAACCATAACACCTCCTTAGTTAGGAGCCCTTTCTCGCTTAATTTCACTTTTTGCTAAATTTTAGGAATTCCGTCAACCTCCTTTGTAACTTCAGGTTCTTTATTGTTATCTATGACAATAC